AGATATACGATTTGAACCTATTAAGTGCTTTGCCAGATAAACCAACACAGTTTTCTAGTCTGTCCAGTAATATTTTGTGGTCCACTGTATCAAAGGCGGCACTGAGGTCCAGCAGTAACAAAATAGTGATTTGGCCATTGTCTGTGTTTAAATATATGTCGTTTAAGACTGAATGCAGCTAATGTTAGCTTTTTACATCTAGCGATTGAAATAACACCTTAAAAAATGATAAAGGTGGGCTTGATACGTGGGGATTCTTTTTTGGAACAAAATGTGTAAGTATCATAAACTATTGTTTGCCACAGATTTTTATTTCCGGAAAAGTTCCATTGACATTTTGATGCTGGAAACAGTGCGATGTGGCCTACAAATACAAGTCATGCTTAAACCACTCTATTAAGGATGCTTTTCAGTTGCATGGGAACACAGTTTTGTAGGATACAGGGTTGAGATAGGGGTTACCAAAATGTGCTGTTCCTTTGATCCCTCATTATGAAGTTAGAACAGAGCATGCAGTGATGAAGCTAAACAAAAACATAATGACCTCAACCAAGCATACATGTTTGTGAATATTAGATACTGTGTACATAAAGAAGTCATGGGAATTGATGGAATGGAGTCAATAAATCCCAAGTGACCCACTCTGTTTGGAGCGACTGTTTTCCCACTGTCACAATAAGACACTCTACATCTATCACCGTTTAATTCGGCTGACTCACTTGCTCCTTCGGTGACATTTACAGCTGGCTCGGAGCTCACATTTCGCACAAGATGCTGCACCAATAAGTCTGAGATGAGCATGCACACATGCAATTGGGCAATTATTTAGCACAATGTGGCATTGTAACGCTGTGCTAAAGCATGTCCAACAGTTCAATAAGAAGCTTGCAAATGGATACACCTCACACAATCATATTTGTGCAGTTTTAACATGAAAATGGAAAATATACCCCCTACACACGTTCCTTCCTACGTTCTATTGTGTCTGAAGGCCCAGTGTGTCATCCTGATTGGCCTTCGGTGGAGTGTGTAGTGACCTTGGCCAAAGCTGCCCAAGCTCCTGCCCACCACCACCCGCCTCCTTGCTACAGTAATATCCAATGTCCCACCCCCTCCATACCAGCAGTGTAAGCAGAGAGCTCTGAATGGCTCACCCATTGAATGTGTGAAGGGGACGCTGACATACATTACATTAGTGACAGACATTGATAGTGTTGTGGTATGTGGGGGGAGGGGGGGGGGGGGGGGCAGCTGTGATATGCAAACAGACACAAAAAAGGAAAACAAAACCACTGGTGAATGACAGAACCACAATATAAATGGTGATGGTGTCCCAGGACAGACCCCTTTAAAATAAGAAGTGCTGGCCCAAATGCTCGGTCATATGGACGAGAGGGCAGCACAGTCACCAGCTGATCCTTAATTTCACCCTCAACTCAAAATGTGCTACTGATGATGGAATAGTTATGTAAGTAAAATATAATTTAAAAAATGACGGCAACAAAGAGAAAGTGATAATAAAAGATATCACTGACAAAAACTAAGAACACCAATATTACGCAGACACATTGATTACATAACTGGAGATTGAACCTTTTTTATATAAAAAGTACATAAAAGAGGCCAAAAATCATTTCAGAAATCCAAAATTAATTTCATCCAAAAGCTTGTTTTTGTCACCAACAGTCAAACACTGAAAGGTATTCAGAGTATTATCAAATTAAACAAATAGAAGCAGCAATTGGCGTGTACATAGCAAGTGATTAACAGGTGAGAACTAGTTGGAAGCCTGAACCTGAAGATATTGGTCATTTTCCAAGCAAAAGTTATTAAATGATCATTAAATACAAATGGTTACAGATTTATTTCTATTCATCTCACAACAAAACCATTACTTTCAATGAACACTAGTTTTTTCAAGCCATCAATATGATATGCAATACATTAAGAACACATGTTCACATGAACATCTAGAGAAATATAACATCAATAAGTTACAGTTCTGCTCTAATACATTTTATTAGAAGCCTGCCAGCCAATTTGGACAAAAAGCTCAAAGAGAGTCGGAGAAACTGAGAAAGTGTGAGAAAAGAGGAAGGTGAACTTTTAATTGGCACAAACCAAAAGAGTGCTGATTAAAAGAGGAACAGTTGGACGACACAGTTGTGCAAATATTGTAAATACTGATTATTGATGAACATACCTCATCCTTTATGATTTGGGGTTTATAGTGACTCTAATAATAATAAAATACTTATTTTTGCAGTCGGTCCCCCTCAGTATTTTGTCATGGCTTCAGGGCTTGAAACGTAGGTTCCAAATGTATTTGAGTTAGGTTCATAACGCAGGTGCTTTAGGTACCTGACATTATCGCTGATTTTTGTTTCTCACAAGACATGAACAAATGCCCCCTGGTAAAAACGGTGTGTTTGATTGAACCATCAATCTACATCGACCTTGTACCTCACTCCTCATCACCTTATTTCCCTCTTTGCTCCCATCATAACTACAGCTACTAAAAGTCGCCTTACAATAAATGCATGATGATTGAAACTTCCGAAACGAAATAAAATATTGTCCACAGTTATAGTTGGGCTGATGATTATTCATGTACAAACTATTTGGTAGAACGTCCTATAAAACGTTTCACCAACAATAATTTATTGTGAGCTTTGGAATTATTATGGCACTGTAGAAACCAGAATGATAAACTTTGATTAAAAACTGGACAAGAATGACTCTTGGCATCAGTGCGGAGACATCTTGCAGAGTTTCACAGTACATGATGGCAAACGTGGAAAGGACTTCACACATTACAGTGCAGAGGGAGAGTGTAAGATCACAAGTCACTGCATACCACAGTTAACCTGTCAAACCACACGTATCACTCTGTACTTCATGTAGCCTTGCATATCTGCAAAAAATACACTATCTCTGCAAACACATTCAGAAAGTCTTATCAGAGGCCACCTGCATAATCCTCATTCTCAGGTCTTTGCACGGTAACTAACAACCACTCCCCCACGCCAAGCCAGATGCCCAGATCCAGCGATTTCAGACGCAGCTACAGTATTACTTCATGTATGGATCTATATTTAGAGACAAGTGGGTAGAAAACTCAGAGACACTGTGGTTCATAGTTCTACAGAAGCTTCAAATACAACACTGTGATGTGGAAGACAGATGCAACAGTGGGATAAGCTGCAAGGCTTAAGCTAATGTACATTATATTCAAATCACAGGAAAGGCTGACATTACAAGTACAATATTGTAGGGATAATTCACCCTTAATAAAGAAGTCACCTTTGCCCAGACTTTAAGATCATAAAAAAAGGTCTCCATGAAAGCAGTTTTCCCGATTCTAGCAGTAATTGGGACACTTATTCTGGCAGGATATGCAACACCTTGGTCCAGAATAAAATATCTCAACAGTAATGGAAATAAATAACATTTCTGTTGGCATGAAATATAACTTTGAAATATTTACAAAATGCACATTTAACGCGTTAAAATAACTAACTAATATATAATGTGTCACATTTAAAAAAAAGTAATTTGACCATCACTGATCAATGAGATCACAGCCTAGCTAGTAGTATAAGTATTGTGTTCTTCTTTAACTAACTAGAGTAGTGTGTGGGATTACAAATTACTACACAATCCCAGGATGGTAACTTTGACATTCCGAGGTCAGTTTGTTCACTGTCCTACAAAGAGTTGGATGGAGGGTTGAGATCAGTTTGTATTTTGTGGATTCATTGGAGAACAGTTGCCGGACAAGTTAGCTTGGTGCGGGAGGAGAATGGGACTTCTGCAAATAGTAAAGTTGTCCAACGTACATAGTATGTGTTCTTGGCAGGCAATAATAAGTACTGTAATTAATAATAGTTTTCAAGTAGCACTATGTTAGCATGGTTAGTGTGTGTTTATTAGCATGCTGACATTAGCATGTAGCTCCAAGTAGTGCTGCTGCCATAACTGGAGACTCATAATCTTGTTTTAAAGGACACATTGAACAAATAAATCAACCTTTTGGTATTAAGTTGGAGGCAGAAATCGTATACACGACTCAGGAATAATTAAAACCAAAACTTTTGTACATGCATGGTGAGATACCAATTAAGTTTCGCAAAAACATGTATTTGTTTATATGTAAATATGGTGACCTGATTCTTTAATCACTTGGTGGCATCAATCATAAGGTTTCAGTCATGTACAATTAGCAAGATTATTATTATATGTTACATGAAAAACAGATAAGTCTTTTTAAATATTTTCTTTCAGGTCATTTATGATGATGACCCTACTGGAGGACAGTCTGTAGTTTACACAGCTTCAGCTATCCCACTCTCCACTTCTTCTTCTTGCCCAGACATAAGTGGTGCACTAATCAATACTTGCACTCAATTCTGAAACTCCATATTTATAAAACAGTGACGCTCAAATGTGTCAGGTTACCACAGGCATTCGGTTTCCACAATAACTACACAGCCAGCTGCTCTGTACCATCATTTGAAAAAAATTAAAAACCTGTGACGCACCATTAGTTTACGCTCGATATTTGCTGAGTCATTACTACAGTATGTGACCTTATCCACCTCCAGATTCAGTTTGAACTGAAATTACAGATAACATATATTGTTTCATGCTTAATTTGATTATTAGGAATAAGCCAATGCACTTTATAGTACCTATACTGCTGCACAACAAGGACCACACTACAACCAGTAAGCCACCGCCTCCACAGCCCTGCTGCTCTGACTGTGCACAAAAAAGACGTCAAAGCATTGCCGTGCACCTAAAGACAACGTCATACCTGCAAGGACACACTCTCTAGCATCGATTTACCATGGTGCATATCTCAGTCTGTGCAAAAAAATACTAATTGACTGCGCTTCTGCACGTGTCTTTGTTGCATAGCAATTACGCAGACAGCGACTCAGCATCATGCGTAGTTGCCCATTAAAGTCAATGCATTTGCTACCTAGCGTACGCCTTACCTGCGATTTCAGAGAGCAGACCAGCGGTAGGAAAACTGGAAGCAAGAGATGTTGCGACTAAAATTCATAACAGCAGCAATCCTGGTCCATGGTGTAGTGGAGAGTATGTAGTCTGTGGTGGAGAGACACGCTGCGTACTGTGATGCCTCTGCAAGGGATGCTCAACAGGACCACGTGACTCTGGAGGACAACCTGCCAATCTGAAGTCACTGATGGAGGGACAACAATAACATGCTGCCTCAACAGTGTGTTCTGTCTAAGGGGAGGGGGGAGTATGTAAGAGGGAGGGGAAGTAGTTGTAGAAGCTGTTGTAGGGGAAGCAGTAGGATGGTAGTAGTATTCGCTTTAACAGCCTCAGGGATGGAGTAAATGTGTGGCGCAATGTATTCAATAATATATGCAGCCTTATCACAAGCTGTCCACTTTTTTTTACTGCAAGTATACACCACATGCATACTTAAATAAACACACATAGGACAAATGTTCTTGATTTCACAATGCTTTTGCAGATATTTCACCTACTCCCTCACAATAACATTATCATTTAATGTTTTCTTGTATGTTGTTTATCTGAGGGCAACAGTTATCTGAATGTCTGCTGGCTAACACTTTGAAATATTGTGTTTATTTTAGTTATTGACTGAAGCCATATTTGGTCTGACACATTGCAGCCATTTTGTTAAAATGGTAGTGTTTTCTCCAAATTGTCACTGGTGTTACTCTTCTTCCTGGTAACACATAACACCAGTGACATTCCTATACAAATAAGCTTTGTAAAAAGTATAAAAATAATAAAATAAATAAATAAATACTTTAAGCTTTACTTGTTGTGGATTCATCAAGTTAAGAGTTAGTTATTGCTATTTAACAGGTTTTAGATGTTTTTAGAAGGAATATATTTCAGCAGACTTGTATCACCCAGATTCCACCTTTTCTGTAGAATGACCCAGGACTTAAAACCATATAGTCTATACAAACAGGATTGTCAAGTTACAGTATATAGCTGAATATGTATTCAATGGGAACATTTACATAGAAATACATGTGTAAATAACAAAGATAATTGCTAGCTTTTGAAAAAAAACTGTTTTATCCAGTTTGGTTTTTCCTTTTATTATTTACCATCAATGCGTTCATGATTATGTCATTCTCATGTCATTGCCCCATCCCTTCACTGCAACATGCATTCATATTCAGCATCATCTCATCTAAACATTGATAGCAGTCTTCCATCATAGCTGCCTTTCAAGAAAAGTTTTTTTATATCAGTTTATAAAAATATAATTATATCCAGAAAAAAAGACCATGTGAGTGTGAAGGTCTAAGGAGAAACAGGAAATAATCCCTTACTGTACAACAGCTTTGTTATTGAGGTTTCAGAACAGTAAAATGACCACCACTGTGTGGCAGCAAAGCTTCAAACTAAGTACAGAGATAGATAGGTTGCGGTCGAATTGTCCTATAATCAGATCCTATGGTCTTTTCCTATCCACTATGTTCTTGACCTCTGTGTGAAACTTCACAGAGTTAAGGAATAGTGGTTAGGAGAATTCAAAAGGACTTAGGAAAAGAGACTGTAGTTACACTATCCAATGTATTTATGAAGCGCCAGAGGATGTTTTATAATGTGCGTCGGGTGTTGGGAAACTACAGTTTTCTATACAGCGGACTACTTTAAGCGCATCTAGTTAGTTTGCACGTGCTCCTATGCAGGCTTAATGAACATGGACAACAGTGAAACATGTATTCTTCATTAGGTTGGAGTTGAAATAAAAAAGTGAAGTGAAACTTTTGTTGTCAAACTCCCCCCTCCGGTGATGTATGAAAATATGTATGAAACTTGTTAGGCCTTAACCTCTATCACTGTGCATATCACCATTCAAACATGTTTTAAAAAGTTGAAGAAACCCCATACAACTCAGTAAATACTGGGAAATGTTGACTTTATTTGATCATTCTACTGGGAAAAAGTAACGTTCATATTTCTCCTTTTGATTATTATAGTGTTGAACAGTCAAAACAAAGCACTTTGGCAAGTTAAGGCACAAGTTGTAAAACGCTTAATAAGCACCGTAACTTTCATGATACGTATGTCTCGGTCACGATCGGTTGCTTTCCTGAACGGCCAAATGTTGTGTCCTCTCCTTTCGTGAAGGAAGGTCCAGTGTTTCCTAAACTAAAGGAGGTTATAAAGGAAGTTTGAAACCTCCTTTCCTATCATCTCTAGAGAATTCAACAGCTCTTATCATGGCTGCCACTGAGGTACTTCCGGGTAATTGTACTCCGTTAGGAACCTCCCTAAACTAAACTGACAAATCGAACCATAGACTCACAATGCTGGACTATCAAACAGGCTAGACGGCTCCAGACCCCTAGGGTCCCCTAATGCCCAACGTTAACTTTTTTTGTGGTCATTTGAATACTTTTATTTGTATTATGTAGTAGTGTATTGTTTTATCAGTTTGATCATTAATAAATAAAAAAGCCTTTTCATCATGTATTAAGTACATTGTTTCATGTCCATGACCAACAACCTTGACCAATAAATACAAATAAATACATCCTTAATATTTCATTATAACTGTCATTTATAAAGTAAGGTAACTCACTTGAGTTAGCTAAAGTTAGATAGCTATACTAACTTTACCCAACTTATGTTAACGTTGGCATGAAAACATCAGGAAAACAATGCAAAAAACCTAATGTAATCATTTCAGCTTATGTAAAAAGTAGTCTGCTGCGAGCCATAGCATAACATTCTAACATTAACAAACTCATGGTTACTTTGGACTACACTCTATTTGCTGTCTAACGTTGCGTTAACTTACTCCATAAATTATGGTCATATCAAAATATTCTGGTTGTATTTTCAACCCTGGTGTTACTGCTAGAGTTTGTCTGTCTTATTCAAACTAATGACCACATAGTGTCTTATCCTTATAATGGTCTTGTGGTGTACACAACATCACAACTCTTCCAAGGTCAGGACTAGTGGGCCTGAGCCTGGAGCTCTGTCTTATCTTAAGACAGTTACATATTGGGTTGTAAAATGAAAGGTCACCTATTATGCATGTATAAACGTGTGTAAAGAGATTCTGAAAGTTTCAGTAAAAACGATTCGCTACCTTTTTTCCTAATCCATTTATATAAAAACCTGTCTGAAAATGAGCTGATCAGATTTTGGCCATTTCTTTGCAGCTATTAACCCTCCCTCACAATTACATGAACATTACATGTTTTATTTGATGATGTTTATGTGAGAGCAACAGTTATTTAAACGTCTGCTGGCTAACACACACTTTGCATATTTGTGTTTCTTTTAGTTTGCCATCTTAGTCAACTCAGGTATGCCATATCATACAAGAATGTTCACGTCTGCAGTGTTCCGATGGCATGTTAGCCTGAAGTTTATAGGTCTGAGTTCTTTCTGTTCTGACATGCCAGACATTGTGTCTTTGACCTGCACGTTCAATAATCCAACACAGGTAATCTAATTTAGCTAGATGAAATATTACCGCTGGACAGTATCTTTAACTTGGGAACGCCATGTGTAAGTGTGAACTCTCACTGTTGCTTAAGATAATACTAAATTAGTCTGAAAATCCACACAAAAATAATAAATAAAATAAAGGGTAAGAAGTGAACACAGAAATAGTTCTGACTGCTCTCAATTGTTTAATAAAGGTATGTTGCAATATCAATGTTTTGACCTTTGACAGATTTGAGCAGATACAAACAATTAACAATTAACTTAACCACTGTTACTTACTGATTATCACATTTTAATCAACACACATAAATACAAACACATACACCTAATTCCATATAATCTGTTATCATTTTTAATATTTGTACGATGTGAGGGTCTAAGGACAGAGGGTGTCGTATTGTCATACTGATATTTTGTACAAACTGTAAAGTCCACTGAGACAAATGTAACATTTGTGATATTGGGCTATATAAATAAACATTGATTGATATGCAGACTCCTGTATGACAGCAGTTGCCACAATGCAATATGGATTCACTCCACTAGAGGATGCTGCAACTTCAATTATGAAAATACAATACTCATTTTAAGAGTGTGTTTGATGTACAGTTAGTACCTCAGTATAATTACTAACATGTTGCTATAAACCTATGAATATAAAAAGGAATTAGAAGGAAGAGCCACGGGTATTTTAATAGGAGTAAAAGTAATCGAGGTAATCGAAAAAATAAGTAAGGCTTTGTTTGTTCTTCAAAATTAAGTAACATATTTGTATGCATTATTCCTTAGATTGATTTATTGCAACAAAATATCCTGTTAAAAAAAGAAGACATGTATGGCTGACTATTAATGGTGTCAGGAAACCCTGTTAATGTTTAAAGTTCAAAGATGTTTAAATCTGCGAGGCAGACGCTTCACAGCTGGACGACCATCCAAACGGAAAATTTTCCACTGCCACTATTTGTAAGAGCGAGAAAGAGAATTTATAACGTTCTGTACCCATGGAAGCCTGTCACTTATTGTATTCAGGTTTACAGCTGGGACTATCTTTCAACTCTGGCAGCGAAGATGATTTCAGCCTCCCATGCCACAACACAAGTGATTCAAGACGAACACCATCTGAAAATTGTTACAGTGTGAAATATGAATGCACAAGATAGGATTTAGGAGGAGCTAAAAGTCAGGATCAGCACCTCAAAATTGGGATTACTTGTGGAACTAAGTCAGCGGCCCAAAATACTGAACACACGTACAGTAGAAACAAAAGGCGCATTCACACCGCAGTACTTTTCCCACAAAGGTTCATGAGAACTCTTTTGTCGCGTTCACACCAAAAAGAGCCGGTACTAAAATTAGTTCATGAGAACCTTTTTACCCGCACGAAAGTCCCTGCTAGAGAGCAGGGACTCTTGTGAGAAAAGAGCTATATTTCTGATTGGCTGGGCGAATTGCAAACCACGCCCCGTAAAACTCCCAAAAAGTTTTGTGAAGCCGCCATTTTATTATCCTCGCATTAGCATTATTAGCATTAGCATTAGCCCAGCGCAGAAACGCAGAGAGACTAATTTATGGCAACACAAAATAAAACATGGGAGCGGTGGAGATGAGGAACTAAAGAGTTCTCATGAACCTTTGTGGGAAAAGTACTGCGGTGTGAATGCGCC